TCACGTTAGGCTTGCGTGAGCATGAATGTGATTTAGGGTTTAGGGTTGAAGGTGTAGGGGTTTGGGGTTTAGGGATTTAGGCTTTGGGGTTACGGATGTTCGAAGGCATTTGTTTGCCTTGTTTTGCGGGTGGCACCTTGTTGGACATGGGGCTCGGACTTTGGGCGTCAGGCAAAGCCTGAGGAGCGATACCAACCTTGATGCGTCCCGAAACGCAGCTAGCGGCAAGGTCTTTCGTCTTGAAACTGATAATGTCGGTGCGAACCCCCTAATATAGGAGCCTTAATCAGTGGAATAGGGTTTGGGGGGGTGTATTATGCTACTGTTGTAGTAAGGAGCCCCCAAAAGCCTATTCTAATTATTAAGGCCCATACATTAAACCCTGAACCCTAAACCCTAAACCCGCACCATGAAATTTCAGAAGATGAAAGGACCGTGAAGGGCTCGGACATAAAGATCAAGGTTAGGGGTCTAAGGTGTAGTAGGTGCAGGGCTTAAGGTTAGGTCCCCATGCAAATTCCCTTTGCTAGGATTCTTGTTCTGCCGCTTATGAGTCTTAACTTGGGACGTCTAGGATAAGAAGAGAGCAAAACGTGGGACCTCAAGAGACTGAAGAAACAAAGGAAGAACAGCTGCGTTTTCGCAGATTTGGGCGTGTTGAGTTGGGGGGGAACTTGAGTTCCCGGACTAGGCCTGGCAGGAGACTGGACACTAAAACCCGAAAGTCCTAAACTAGACCTGAAACCCTAAACCCTAAACCCTAAACCCTAAAATCCTTAACCCTGAAAGCCCACACTAAAACACCCTAAACTCTAAACAAGAGTCGCAGGTTCCCAAGACGCATCAAGCCACCAAAACCACGGCCGAAGCACTTAAAGCCACGAGCCCAAGCCATCCACCCCGAACTTTAAACCCCAAACCCCAAATCCTGAACAACCCTAAACTCTTAAACTTAAACCCCAAATCGCAAACCCCAAGCCCTAAGCCCTAAACCGCAAACCCCAAACCCCGAACCCTAAACGGCGAAATTCTGACTGCAGGTTCGGTATGAGCCAGGACCCCCCCAAAGTATCCTTTCATAAGGCCCCTGTGGTCCTTAAGAGTGGGTATTTAGGGTTTAGGGCTTAGGGCTTATGGTCCTGAAAGATGGGTATTTAGGGTCTAGGGTTTATGGTCCTTAATAGTTGGTATTTAGGGTTTAGGATTTGGCGCTAATGGTCCTTAATAGAGGGTATTTAGGGTTTAGGGCTGAGGGCTCATGGTCCAGAATAGTGGGTATTTAAGTTTTAGGGCCTAAGGCTTATGGTCCTTAAGAGTGGGTATTTAGGGTTTGGGTTTAGGGCTTGTGGTCCTTAACAGTGGGTATTTGGGCCGAAAGAAAACAGGGCACGTGGGATGTCTAGGAGGGGTTTAGGGTTTAGGGGGTTAGGTCCAGTCCAAGGCAGACTCCAACAGCAATAATATCGAGGTCGGACTCCGCTGATAGACCGTGTACAAGTATAAAGATTAAACGACTAACATTAGGGATCCTTGTCGAAAGGACATTGTCCTGTCTCCGGGGGGGGGGGTGTCCGAAACGTATGGCTTACGGTGCAGGGCTTTCTACATTTGGCTTTCTGGCTTAGGGTTTAAGGTGTTGCGGCTTAGGGCTTACGGTTTTTGAGACTTGGAGCTTTCGGGTTGCAGAAATTACGATCAAGGCACGATGGACGAGTCCTGTGCAGCCATTGTCGGAGCGCGGGCCGTGAGACAGCCAGGAGAGGCTTTGCAAGTAGGGTTTACCCTAACCCCCCAGGTACCTACTATACAGGGCCCTTGGGGCTCTAGTACCCTATATAGTAGATACCTGGGGGGTTAGGGTTAATTAGGCTTTCGGGCTTTGTTCTTGTCGTTGCAGCTTAGATGCTGATGCGATGCTGAGAAAGCCTTTGGCCTCTGGCAAACACCAGCAGTACGGGGTTGAGGGGTGAGTCTGTCCTTCCTTCCGCGAGCGATCGAAGAAAGAGTTTCCTTCCTCAAGTTCATGTAGGTGAATTGTCCGAATGATCCTTTTTGCAGCTGTTATTGTCTTCATTGCTCTTCTTGCAGCCTTATGCTCGCCCCGAGATTGTCTTAGTATCTCTGCAAAGCCCTGGCTTCTGAATAAGTGGACTACGCAATCTGAGAGGTGATTTCCACCTCTGAGCCCGGACATTGAGGCGGCTAAGCAGTCTGCAAACAACAGTCTCTCTCTCTCTCTCTGGTCTCAACTTCTCTCTCTCTCTCTCGCTCTCCCTCTCTCTCTCTCTCCTGCCTCTCTCTCTCTTTCGATATCGATATGTACATATAATATATGGAGATTTTATATATATATATATGAGCGTTGAT